TGAGTTAACACTGATTACACAGCAAAATATCAAGTGCACCTTCTACAATGGGTATGTCTACAATATTGTAGTTTTGATAAACGCTTAGTCTCAAATGGATTATCTTTTAGAATTCTTTTCTAAAGATCTTGAGCACCGTGTGATATTAAGTTTTTTCAGCATGGGGTAAAATTGTAAATACAAAAATAAAGCAATTGACTTACTTGTCGTTTCGTCGTCTTTCAGTTTAATCTGCGTTTCTCTGGTTAGTAACCGGCGGGGATACGAGTACTTAGGGGTAGTCATTGGGGTCCTAGCTGAGCAAGGTTTCTCCACATTTTCGGTTCACTTTTGAAATCTTGATTATGATCCGATAGCAGTCTTACACCTATGTTTGATCCAAAGTGGGATGTACAGCGTAATGCTTTGAACGTTTACAGGGGCGGATCCAGGATTTTTTTTAGGAGGGGGTGCACTCGTCTCTTGCTCTACTTCAACACCAGTAAACCACATAGTTTTTTTTTTGCAGAATACCAGTTGTATTAGAAAACCGCAAGTCATCTTAGAGGGGGGGGGGTGGTGAGCACCCCCTGCGCCCTCCCCCTCCATCCGCCCCCGGCTTTGATCTAGGAAAGGCTTAATTATCGACTACTGTTCTTTTTCGCCGAGGGAGGAGGCAAGGCGGGCTCCAAGTGAAAGAGTCCAAGATATTGAACCTCTTTCTAAATTACATGTAAAGACAACTCCCGTAAGTGGTACCTGTGGTAACCTGTGGTACCTCCGCAGTGCCTGGGGGAGCTGCAATTCTCCTCTAACACAGTAAATATTATTCACACATATGCAGCCTTGTGCCGGAATTCGTACTGTAGTTTCTTCTCCCCATAAATGAATGAATAACATTATTTTACACAGCATCTAGAATTTACAAGGGGGTATTCACAATACATGCAGAGCCTAGGGATATGAAGTTTGAGGAAGAGGATATTTTGTCCACTATGTCTATAAAAAACGCTCGGTAATGTAAAATGTATTCACGAACCGGCCTTGCAACTGGTTATCGGTTGATCACACGTCAAATGTAATGAGTTTCTTCTGTGACAATTTTTATACTTGCGTTTATTAACAGAGAAATTCATTAGGATGTTCGAAACTACGGCTTTGAAAAGGCCAGTAACTTATAAAGTAACAATTCGTCTACTAAGCAATTCGACAGATTTCTGACGAGACGACGTGGGACAGCGTATTGGGGTGACGATCTCTTTCATTACAGGATAAAGCATTGAAAACTTATCAAAGGTTTCCAGATAGGAAATCTAACCAAAAAAAAACACTTCAAAAGAACGATAAACATTTCGTTTGGTTCCGCTAAACTTAAAATTCCTGCACGAAAACTCAGAAAACTGATTTACTGGCGTAACCTGTGCTCTTATTGGTCTATTGCCGATGCCAAATAGTTTGTTTAGAATGTTTATCCTTTTAGTGCAACATCGATATGTTTAACTGTAGGATAAGTCTACAGCCCCTATTCAACATTTCCCTTTCTTAAGGACAATCTCATGTTGACAACTTCCGATTGTTATTTGACCAACTGAAATAGTATTGTACGGGAAGCTAAACCACAAGGATTTAACTGAGACGACTGAAAACTTGCACTGATTGAGCTGAACGACTATTCTTTGGGAGGATCGTATATTAAAATGATTTCTTTGCGTCTAGCAGATCCGCTGCAAATTGACGATTGTGGGAAAGATTCAATTCATAACAAAACAATAAAATTAGAAGGGGATCCATATCTGACATCCCTCAGAAAACAGGGGATTAGAATAAATTAAGATATCATTTAACCCAAACAGTCCAGTGGTGACTTCGTAGATTGGTATCTCAGGCCAAGTATCGGCATGAACAAAGGCAGAACAGGGCAAGTAAAAGACAGTTTTCGTTCGAAGATGGCAGAGAGGAGTCGAATACAACGCAGCAAGGTCCAGAAAAACAAACGAGAGAGGGAAAGGATAAAGGCTTTAAATAAGCATTTTGCGAACTTAAAAGTGTATCTTCCAAACAGGAACCAAATCACAACGAAAGCAGAGATTCTGCAAAGTGCCGTAGAATATATTGATTTTCTAGAAGACATGGTTCAAGATTTTCAGGAAAAAGAGTTGGAAAAAATTGAAACATTGACCGAGCCAGAAAATCGTCCGAGTTGCAGATATTCGAAGGTAAGCTTTCATGCGATAGAAATTTTTCAATATTTATTTACAGACCAAAGGCTTTAAACAACTGGAAAAAAGTAATAAAAGTATTCCTTTAGGCCGGCTAATGCCGCCTGGCTCAGTTTAGACCATTGGTCTACCATGCATGGAAGTAAAACGTAGCATTACATACGTGTATTAAACAGTACTACAGCAATGTCTCGTTGCTTGAGAGCTTATATTTGAGGCGGTCACCAGAATTACGATCTCATCCACAGAGTGAAGAATTAGCTAAAATTGCAGCTCTACAAGTGAACAGCATATAAACCACATGAACGCTCAAGCTATGAAGGATTTCAACAGTGGTGATGTTCCCACAAAGCTTGCTCTAAAGCTCGGCCGTTAATCTCTGAAGGGCCGTTCAACATTTAGTTAGACCCACATTGTAAAGTGTAGTAAACAAACTCTGAGTAAAGTGCTAGGCCACTGGGTAAATACCGAGAGAGAGATTTGAACTATATATAGGAAGTTGAGATTTGATTCTCAGACTCATAGCTGTAATAAATTAATAAGCACCGCTGTTTATACATTGAGCCTTTCTCGTAAAGCAACCTCTGTTATTAAGCTGATGATAGAAAGATGAGGCACAGAAACTAAACATAAACTGACCATGATATAAACTTTAAAACTAGTGTAGTATAATTTGTCGCTTGAGATTTACCTGCTAGTTGGTTCTATTTGTTGACACGTCAAACCGCACCCATAAAAAATCTAGCATCAGTGAACAGCGAAACTCCTCGCTTTATGATTTTAATGCAAACTATAAAATAGATGGAATTTCCTAGCAAATGACTTTGCATCATCAGCTTCTTTCCTGTGGGCATAGTGCATGACTTTTCAAGTCATCGTGAATGCTAAACATTCCAAGTTCCATTCATTAAAAGGCGCGCTTCAAGCCATTAAGTTACGAAATAGGCAAGCAGAAATCAGTGGCGGGCGAGGCAGGAGGGTGGGAAGATTTTTGTGACTAATCATTTCGTGTTAGTTTTGCTTCTTCATGACCGTGCAGTGCCCCTGATTGAGGTATGGTGTGCCCCACTCTTCCAACAGAAAAGGCGACAATGAGGAGGGGCACTCCGTTAAAAGTGGTCTATATGACTTAGCTTGCGGCAAGTTGAACTGTTTTAAGTGCTGCCCATTTCGAAAACGAAAGGGGGTTTTCTCCTCATGCACCATTTTTAGACCCAAATATGATCAAATATGGGATTAACCGGTTGGACAACTGACGTACAACAAGCTCAGTTTTAAGGAGTAAATTCTTGATAGCCATCGGCTACCTTACATTTTCAGTATTTTTGCAATTCCCTGCTTTTAGAACCTTACATTTACATTTAATCTCATCCGAAATTTACGTGTTCCTGTTGCTTAGTGTTAATTAATCAGTCAGGCTTCTTTTTCACTTAATGACCCCACTCCACCCTCTTACTAACAAGGTGACCCTTCTGTCATCGCTTGATTACGTGTTAATAAGATCTAATTGCCGGACAATAATAGGGTGTCATCAGCTTAAAAGATTTAAAATGATTTCCTTTTGATTGCAGATAATATCAGAAGATTTGTTTTTCCAGCGGTGCATATACAAGACTCGAACTTCCTTTCAAACATACGCCCATTAGGAACGGACCAGTCAAATTTTCGAGGCTTATCGAAACGAAACGCGTCCCTGCACTGGCTTGTCAGGATTTTTAAGACGTGAACCTCGTATTGGAGCTTGCTCTGTGAGTTATCCAGGTCCTTGGCGAAGTTTGTAAATAAAATAAAACCAGCTAACGATGGCAGTGCTTACATCTAACAGAATAGACGTGGAGTAAATTCAAATTTCTTTTCTTTTCTTATCATTTTTTTATTTTTTATTCATCTATCATTTTTGGCACGATGTCAGTGGTCATACTAGTATCTGGTTTGTAAAAATGTCTTGAGTCTTGCATAGTTTTCTTTCTTTGGAAAAAATATCTTTCCGCATACTCTTACCTTTGAACAGGTTCGTCTAGCTGCAATTTTCGCTGTGGCTTCACTCGAATGAGCGACTCAACCTGCATCGCTTCTGTACCGAGATATTTCACACAATTTCTGACAAGAATGAATCAATGACTATCCATTTTAATACACACAAAACTGTTTTCATTTCAATTTAGAATTCCTGTACGAAAGCTGAAGAAGCCTGAGTAAATGTTACGAGCGACTGTTCTTTCATCGGACCGATATCTGCGGTATCCCACGTTCGTTCTGGTCTTTGTTGTGTACAGGTTAAATCGATCTTAGAATAATTCTTAAGCCATTTGTTAATATTTCCTTTTATAAAGAACAACTTATGTAGATAACTTCCGTAAATAATTAAACCTGAGGAATAGTATTGCAAACTGAAAATGGAATTCAAGAGAAGAAGGTGGGGATGGTACTCTATTGAGCTCCGCATAAAACACATTTTCTTGTTTCTCTGTGCAGTGTCACAGATCCTTTAAGAAGTGTGGGAAAATTTCACTTGCTTGTATTTATAGCATCTAATCAGAAATCCATCAATTTCTGATTGCCGTTGAAAAGGAAATATTTGTAAATTAAGACATCTTTCAACCTAAACAGCTCAGAGGTTTATCTGGGGTTATGATCAGCTAGATATGAGGAATGCTTAAAGGCACACTAATAACTTGAGGTTTGGGGCTAACTAGAAACCACTCGCGGCAGAATGTTACCAATGTCCCTTGGCGTGGCTGTCGCAGGGTCACTCCTTGTTACCATTTTCAAATTCTAAGGTCGCTGTTTCACAGCCATATCGCCTGTGGGAATTTTTTTACAATATATATTTTTTTTCATCAGCCCTATATCAACTTTGCCAGAGAGTAATTTCAGTCCGTGCAATTTCACCACAAATTTTGACCCTCATTAAGACAAAAGACTTCAGACGCCTTCCGAAACAGGCTCACTCAGAGAGTTCATAGAAAAGAAGTGAGCCTGTACTGAGCAGGAAATTAAAATATAGATATTTTGGACATTTTTAAAAATTGAATTCCTACTGACACTGATGTTTTTTTTTTTCAGGAGCCAGCTGCATCATACTTAAAGCCACACGACACAACGTCTTTGCTTGCTGACCAGTTTGCCGAGAGTAAGTAAAACGTCATGGACTCTACTCTTACACAACCAATAAGAGTTACTGGGGAGCTTAAGCAATGACGGCAGGGAAAAAGCGTTTTTCAAATTCGCTGTGATTAAGTAATGTCAAGGGGGTGAACGTTCCTGGAGTTGAATTTTTTGGGAACCGCACCTTAGTTTAGCTTCGCTTGCCGATCTTTATTTGTCGTTTCACTCCGTCTTTTACCTTTTTTCCCCACTGCCGAGCTTGGTCCTAGGCTTAGTTTAGAAACAAAAAGAAAAATTCTTATTCGTTTGTTTTGCGCATAAAAGGCGCCAAACATTAAAGATAAAAACACCAGTGCTGCAGTTTGTTAGAAGCTCCATAACGGAGCGCAACTTTGTCTTCTGTCCACAAATTATGACAAAATAAATTAATGAGACGTTTTTATTTGTCGATAAGATCAAAATGATTAGTAGCGGGAATGTTATTGAACGTTCTGTTATTGTACCGTCAGCTCAGAGAACCTTTATTTTTCTATTTCCTAGCACATCAAGAAATCCACTTTGAAAATGAAGAATGGAGGACACTGCTGGGAGAATGAATGAAGCAGTCTCCACTGGAAAGACATTTATTGCCCCCACAACGAAACCGTTGTTCCACAGTGGGCTGACAGGGACGAACAAGGAGCCGCCAGGAATGTTCATCTGCTAGCAATGTTGGAGGGAGAGGGAAAAACAAACTTTTCTTGTTCACCCGTATGGATATTCCTTACACAAGTCTCGTTTAATTTCCGCTAACAAATCCCAAAAAGGTAGTGTCGTTGAAGAGAATACCAGAAGTTATGGTCGCAGTCCTCTCTATTTGCCTTGCCAAACTCGTTTTTCTTCCTTATGTCTCAGGCAAAAGTTGGTTTCACCGATGAAGCAAAATACAGGACTAGGGAACGAACCGGGTCAACGAAGAAACAAAGCAAACGAACACATATTGCTGTCAGAAGAATCTCAGTACAGCGTCAAACTCACTTCACAACTTTAACGACAGCAGATTTGTGTTTCTTTCGAATTTTTTTCACTTTTTCGGTCGCGTCGGCAAAAAATGTCTCTTGTTTCGCTTCCATTTCGTTTTGAATAAAATGTAAACCAGCCAAGTTAAATCCAATATTGTCCTACAAGAAACAAGAAAATAAAAATGAACACTAACATCTACTCCCGAGAGAAGTAAGTTCACTGTCAATCCAATCCAAGGAAAGCCATTAGTACACCAAATATGGAAACAAAAAGTCAACACAGCGTCTTACTTGTACAAGGTCAAAGACTTTTGGCTCATTTTACTGTCAAATGTCAAGAGACCTCGAAGTAGCTAATAAGAGCTCACTTTTTGGGGAAATTTCTACATCATAGAATGTAAAATAGTTTCACGTCCTCCAAGGGGGAGCACTTGCGTTTTTGTTCTATTGACGTTTTCATGACCACTGCCCTTTGAACACCAAAGAGTAAAAAATTTAACACGCCCTGCTGCGCAGTCAATAAATTAATATGTAAATAAAATTTCGTTTTGTTTTTCTTTTCTTTTCTGCATTTAACAGGATGGCGTCCAGCTCTTCCCTCCGTAATCATTCTATCACTCCTTGAAGATTCCCAAAAAAACAGCTAGAGAATAAAATTTCACTTTTTTCACAATTTCACTTGAATAGACAACAGTCACAAGTGTGATAACAAAATCTATCGAGCGCTTAAAAAATTACACGCTAATTTGTTAAAGTAGACCAAAATGTTTACAAAACCACTAACAACAGCGCCTCGATACATCCTAATCAAATCCTTCTTTCTACCAATCAGCTGAAAATTTCCTCTCCTCTAGACCCTTAGGAAGGCCTGATACTGGGGCTACCGTATGCACAAATTGAATTCAAAAGTTGAAACAGTCGGTTAATTTCAGCAATTTGTGCAATTTTCAGCTCTTTGCAAGCTCTTTACAGACTGATTTAGCAACAAAACGGGAACGTCAGTTGACGACGGCGCGCGCAAATTAATCAACTGGCTTGACCAATGGCACAGCGACCAATTGGGTACCGGAAGTCGTGTTTAGTACTTTCCGCGCGCTTTCCCGTCGCCATCTGACGTTCCCATCCTCAACATCGTGAGCACACAATATGTTCCTAAACGCAACCCTTTCAATCCCCTGAAAATACAAGGTGGTTGTAACTCTTGATTCCGAGGACCAACTTCGAGGATGCTACCATTTGAGATGAACAGTAGTTTGGGATCAGGAAAGTATGTTTTAAAACCACACGTTGGATTGTTTTGAATTTTGAGTTGGTCATTCTACGGGTCAAGAGGTACGAGGGGCTAAAAGAAGGAAGAACACAAAGAGGACGTACTAACCCTTAGCTGGTGGACACGAGCTTTAGCGTGTTCGCGAAGAGAATCAATCACTGGAACAAGAACTTTGTTTACGACGATTTGATTGTGATGAATCCTGTAAAATTAAAGAAAAGCAACTGATACGGAGTGATGGAGTCTTTAATTGGTGTATCCACATTTGTACCGAAAAGTACACCCTCTGATAGCCTATACGGGGAGGCTCCGCCCAAAGAAGTACCTCTTTCAGGCTTCAGGCGTATGAAAGGGTAGCGAATTCACTAGTTGAAGTACACGAAAGGGTAGCAAAATCTGTCATTACGATCCGAAAGGCCTGAGAGGGCTATCAGACGCATTTTGTGGCCATGGAAAAGTCGGGAAAACTTTCTTGTTTTGTGACTTATTCCTATTTAAAAGACAGTGCATTTTCAGCAGTTAAAAGGGGTGCAAAATTCTAAACTAGGAATATGAAAGGGCTTCCTTCACTGACAAAAATCGTACATAAAAGGGCGGGGTATATAAAGGGGTTGGGCTTCAGGGCGGAGCCTCCCCATATAAAACTTTGTTGAGTACCCCAGGCTTTTGTTAAATTTCTGTTTCACTCGAGTGTTGAATTTATTACAGTAAGATTTGGCCGTATTATTTCTCGTTTAATATTGCAGAGGTGAAACTACATTGCTAAATTTGTGAAAAAAAGGCTAATTTCAAAGCCAACAATGACATTTTATAGGCAGCAACAAAGAATAACGTTATTGCTCATCAAAACCTACTTTTCCTTGGCACCTTTCATTATAATGTACTCTTGGTTGGAGTGACCGTATTGAAGAGTTAATTGAATAGAGCGTTTTCACATGACGTCACGGCGGCCATATTGGTGTTCCAAAACAATGAAACGGCGGCCATGTTGGTGTACCAAGAAAATCCTCTGGGAGTTGAACTCTTTTCTCATGTAAATAATTTCTTGTGTTCCAGTTAATTAGCATAGATACTGGCCACGTGAGTGAAAACGCTCTATAAAGGCAACATGTGGCGAGGCCACATCAACAAGTTTATATTTTTGCCACGAGAACAAACCAAGGTGGCGCTAACAACAAGGTGACCGTATGGCATACTGTAGTCTGAAGTTTTGCATCGTTACACATTTTTATTGTTTTCCAAACTAGCGCGACTTTCTTAACCTACTTGGAGTAAACCCACTTATCAACCGTGACTTGTTCATTAACATTTTTATGCGCCTAACGCCTACCAGATGAATTTTCTTTTAGTTGCGACTGGTTTTTTAAGGGCCTGTTTACATGGAGTGGGGGACCCCGGTGTAGTGGGGTAAGTTTCTTTTGTTTTGTGTCCCCCAGAGCGTGAAAACAAAAGAAACCAACCCCACTTGACCGGGGTCCCCCACTCCATGTAAACAGGCCCTTAATTGCCATTGCCTACTTAAATCTGATTCGGTTAAACACTTTAACATTCAATTTACGATCATCGATATAAAAGCGCTCCATGGCCAAAGACAACCATCTTGAAGATCAGCTCGCACTTGTCTGGAATTTACTCACCGCAATAGAAATGAAAGGCATCTACAGGACAGCTCCACTTCCCAGCCACTCTACATGAATTAAGACAAAACAAACAAAAAATGCTTAGATGCTTGAAGCTAAAGGGACTATACCACGAGGATATTGCTGTTTTGGGTCAATTCTGGGCTAAAATTATCACTTAGTGCCTTTACCCATACAGTAAAAACCCGCGGGTAAGGTTATTTAAAAGGTAGCTAACACAAGTTTAGGCTGTTTAGGTTCTTAAATACGTTCTTATTTCTGTAAAAAAAAAAGAAAAACAATAATAATAACAAGTTACAAAACAAGATGGTAATAAGTCTATTTTTCAATCATCCCCACCCCCCCTCCATCACCAGCACCACCACTCTCAAGAACATTAACATACATTATACTACAGGATTCTTGCACAGCTTTGCAGCTGCATTTCACTAATATGATTTTAAAAAATAAGAACTGTTTTCCATTTTCTAGGCTAAACAGGTTATTGTTTATAGGGGGTATAAATGACAAATTTTAGGTTAACAGGTTCTTACCCGCGGATTTTTAGTATACAAAATGCTCCTGTAGAGTTTTAGAGAAGATAGTCAAACAAATTTCATCAGGGAGGACTAACCATAATAATGTTTGGTGATTTTTGCAGGCATAGATTAACAATTGAAGCGGATCTGGCCGTTTGCAGGGAAAAGGCAGTACCTTCATTTCTCAGTTACTTTATGACCCTGAAAATTGGTTCAGTATTGAGCTCGCGACCTCCCGCTCTGCAGTCAAGCGCTCTATCGACTGAGCTAATCCTGTACACTAATAAATGAGCTTTTCGGGTATATACTTGCACAATCTCGATTAAGTATTATGAGAGAGAAAAATTCTTGACAATCTTTCAAGACATTTTCAAGATGAACGTGGAATGGCATTGCGCATTGATTTCCTGCAAAGGTATTAGAAGCAATTTCTTTTCGCGATCAAAAGACGTTTTAATAGATATTGCCCTTTTGAAAAATAAGAAAGAGGATGAAACCCTCTAACACATTGACTCTCTCTCTGTGCTAAGCGTTTAGAAGACTTGTGTTGGAGATTGTTGCCCCAGAAAGCATAGGCCTTTTTCAAAAATACCAGAATACTCTTTGTTGCCCTCCAAACTTTGGCGTAAGCATTGTTTTCAATTTCTCTTTGGAACTTTGATGAATAAGTTACTTAATCTTGCCCCGCATTCAGCATAAAGTTGTTGTTCTTGTATTGCGAACTGTATTCGCCGTAGGTTTCTGATTACTCAGTTCTTGCAACTGAAGCTCGGGCAAGAATACCTTTGCGGATAGGAGATAATCCGTCGGCAGTTATCCTCTATTTGTGCGTCAACTTTCAGAAATGTGTTAGCGCTGCATTTTAAGCTTAAATTTGACCAGCTATTTGTGCAGCTAGCTCTACGGTCACGATTGACTTCAAGCTTGCAGATATAAAACTGGAGAGCTCTGCGGCTTATTTGCCGAAGTTAGAGAAAAATGCGGTTTTAAACATATGGCAATATTTCAAACGTTTTTATACCCGAAAGCAAATAAATAGAATTTTCTTAAAGTTCGACCATTCTTTGTTAGGAATGCCAAAAATCTTTTTTTTTTTTAATTGTTCCTCAGTATGGGGGAACACATCTAGACGTAACCTACACAAACTGTAGTTGGTACAAAATTTTGCTGC